GCTCAGTGCTGCTCCGGTCCGGGCATCAACGATCTCAGCCCTGACCTTCGAAAGCTCGAATTCGAGCTTCGTGATCATATCCGCTTGAACTAAAGCATTATCGCGAGCTAAGCTGAGTTAAACCTCGAAAGCAGGAACTTTAGCCAAAGCATCCTTCTCCTCTGAAGCCTGAGCCTCCGCCCGAGCTCTTAGCTCGTCACAGTCATTCTTGACACAGTCAGCTTCGTCCCGAAGACGTTTCAGGGCCTCCGTCTTTTTCTGCAACTGGGATAAACAAAGTGTTAGACTTAGAAGCTAAAAGGAAGAATGCATACGCACCCGGGATGGAAAATTACCTGCTCTATCAAGTAGCCTCGTAATTCGAGCTCCAACACGCCTCATATCGCAAGTATGCCAGCTCGGCTTCCTTTTCCTCGCAAAGGAGCCTAAGGGATCTATCCTCATCCAGAGCTTTCCGGAGCCTAGCTCCATGACGAAGCAGCTCAGACATAAGCCTGTCAAACGCCTGTAGAAGAAAACTCGATAAGGAAAGAAAGACGCGAGATTCAAAAGGCCTATGTCAAAACTCACCGCGAATTGAAGCCGACGGACTTCCTCGAAGGCCGAGGGCAAATCTGTTAATCTAGTCCCCTCTGCCCGGGAAGAAGCAACTCCGGTCGAGGCGCGGTCGCTCGGAGAAACCACTTTTCCAGAACCAGGAACCTCGGGCCCGGCAGACTCAGATGTTTTTTCCATCTCAGAGCTCCGGCCCCGTTTCGCCTTACTCTGTGCGTCGTCGCCCTGCGAATGTGTATCTCGCTTATTTCTGTCATTCTTTAGCCCAGGAGCTGGCAACCCCTCCCCCTCTCCGGAGGAGCACGGCCTCGCCTCAGAAGACTCTCTGATACCTACGGCAGCAAGATTAATATGCAGAAAGGGAAAATGCCTCTCCAAATGAACAAATGGTAAGGAAAAAGTAGTACAAACACACACCGTGATGTTTTGATCCCCATCTGCCCTGGCACACAGCTCGCCACCTACGCTCGTCACAAGTCGAGTGGGTCGCTAACTTCCGGACCCAAACAGGCAGATCAGGAACATCGTCGGGCGCCCATGAAACCGCTACAGAAAGGGAGAAAACACGGTTACAAAACTAACCTTCGCCATAAACGAATCTGAGAAGGCACGGGATGTACCTCTTACATGTAAAATTCCATCCCTCGGGGAATGGTATAAATTCCACAGGAATAACGTCAGTAGTCCGGACCCGGACGAACCGACTCATCCACTCTCGATCTCTATCCTCCTCATCGTCAACAACGAAGGGCGTGGTCGACCGACACCGCAAGGTTAGCACACCTTGGTGGTAAAAGGGTCGATACAGCCTAATAAGAAGACTGAGCGTAAATTAAAGCCCCGCCTTCTCCGCAAGGAACCTCAACATCAACACCACTCGCCAAAATGACGGATGTATCTGCGCCAAGGTAACTCGATACTTCAAACAGAAGTCGAGAACAACCCTGTCAAGGGGTCCCAGTGTGAAAGGATACGTGTATACGTTCAGGAATCCATCAACATGATCCGAGATGCCCGCATCTGGGGAAAGAGTCTGTAACACTACTCTCTCCCCCCATTCGCAGTCTCTCCTCACTAACTCAAGGTGCCCCTCTCCTATCGAAGAAATAATCTTCAAGGAAGACTCCCTTTGATCCTGAGCATCGGGAGCGGAACTCTCCCCTCTCTGCCGAACAGGCCCCGATGTAACAGTCATGGCTATGGCGAGACTAGAGGAACTGAAGCAGGAACCTGCACAAATACTTTAGCGCTGGAGGTAATGAAGGGCTCAACGCCGAAACGGGAGGATAAATATCTAAAATGGGGAGATCCTTAAAGGAGCAGAAGCGACCTTATATACATATGAAGAAGCGGCATCGTCGCCAGTCCCGAGGTGGTCCCCAACCTCGAGGACCTCCATAAAAAAGAAGTTAGACTTTAAGAAGCCAACGGCATCATCTCCAATCCCGAGGTGGTACCCGACCTCGAGGATCTCCATCAAAAAGAAGTCAATGCCATCATCTCCAGTCCCGAGGTGGTACCTGACCTCGAGGACCTCCATCAAAAAGAAGTTAGGCTTTAAGAAGCCAATGACATCATCTCCAGTCTCGAGGTGGTACCCGACCTCGAGGATCCCTATCAAAAAGAAGCCAACGACATCATCTCCGGTCCCGAGATGGTACCCAATCTCGGGGACCTCCTTCGAGAAAAGAAGTTATACTCTAGGAAGCATATAACACCATTGCAGGATTCGAGATGATACCCTGTCTCGGAGGCTCCTCTCAAGAAGAAAAGTAAGCACTTCGAGCTCCACCCATAGGGGTTCGACCTCAGGATATTGCCTAAAGTCTGGCGACCCCTAATTTGGGACCTATCTAGAACGCCTTAAAGGTTATCTACATCAAATTCAAAGCAAGTTTCCAGGTGCCCAAAGCTAACCCTCACTCAGAGACCGTTCTCGAAGATTTCAAGGCTCGAGGTATTATTTTCATATGACCCAAAGTAAAGGTCCCGACGGCCCGAATCTATTGGACCAATTCAAGCTTGATCTGAGGTACGACAGAGGGTTCCAAGAGGTGCCGTTTTTATCGACCGAAGGCCAGAAAGAATACTCGCACCCGAGTTAGATATCAACGATAGTCAACAGAGTCATACATTCAGAGTCTCCATAAATGTAAAAGAATATGGCAAGTATCAAAGACGAAAGTCGAGAAAATATATTTATATTCATAAACATTTTGTTACAATAGCCCGCGAGGGGTCCTTACATATGATTACAAAAGCCCGCGAGGGGTCCTTACACAGAAATAAAGAAGCAAAGGGGTGCACACCCATAGTAAAAGCCTAAAAACCTAGTCTACTCTCGAAGGTTCATCTCCGGTAGCAGCATCCCCAAGCACCGCCTCCTCGAACTTGCATCCTCGAAGGTGATACCTTCGACCGCCACCTCCTCTAGGTTCCCAGCTCGATCCCACAGAATAATATCTCTGAGGGAGAAGATGAAGAAGAGGAAAGGGGGAGGATGCAGAAGAGGCAGAAAAAAGAGACATAACCCGCCGAAGCCAAAGGTTGATGATTCGGCGGGCACCGGCCTTAGCGGCCGGTTGTGCCATTTTATCCCTTGGGAAAAAACCCAAGGAATGAAGTGCCACACCAGGCCAGGGTAGGAGAGTGAGCAGCGGTGTATAGTCTAAACACTCTCCCGAGCAGCGTTGTAGAGTCCAAACTTCCTTCTAGGTCGGAAGAAGTCGGCCGACCCTATTTCATCACCTCGAGCCAATAATGACAACAGTAACAACCGTAGCAGCAGCAGCAATAGCGACTGAACAACGTAATCCCGCTCGGTGAAGGAGAGCTCAGGTAGAAGGCCATTACACAGCTGATAGAAATACCTTGGAGCCGTGAACCCCGAACATGGTGGTTAGCAAGGGAGGAAGATAATGAGAAAAAAGGGATGAATGAATGGAGAAAGGCACTTGGATATAGAGATAGTGCCAGAATGCCCCCATTTATAGGGGGTTATAACACGACTATCAATGCCTTTGAAGGACGGATCGGCAGGCGCAATCAATGCGCCATTGAAAAATGAGTCGACGGCGATATTATGACCTTGAAGATTGGCATCACCAGCACATTGAATGACGCTGAAAAGACAAGTCTATGGGGATGCCCCGGTTATCGTGAAGGTTGGCGTCATTAGTTGGCACCATCAGTATGACGTCATCATAGGAAGCCCGAAGAGTCGGGGGTCGAATTTGTTTCTTATCGTTTCTCTCTAAGAAACGCGGGGACTATCCGTATACGGCGAAATCGGAGAGTCCAATTTCTGGTCATTAAGGCACTTCGGAAGATCACCTCGAAGGCCTGAGGTCGCGGAACCGGTTCGAAGGCTCGAGGCCGTGGCCGAGTATCTCTCCTCGAGGGTCGACGATACTCGACCCCATGATAGCATTAACCATGATAAGTTATAAAAATGGAAAGTCCCAAGGCGCACGGCTAAGACTGACAGAGCCTAGCCGGTCTACTCTGAACCCGAATCAGGGTGTTTTGTCTAGTTGTCCCATCCCACATGTTTACAATTAATGCCTTTTGTACTATATAGGGACTCCCCTCCTATATAAACGGGGTCCTGGTCATTTTTGTAAGGTCTGTTGCTCCAATTACTCCACATGAAATATAGAAGAACATTCTCTTTTCTCTCTAACATACTATCTCGATATTGCTGCCTTTGTTTGTTATCTTCATACTTGTTCTTCATTTATTGCTTATCATTGGCCATAAAGAGCCTTCACTGATCTGTTTTATAACTGTTAGCCCTTCCCCGATTACCCTTAATAGCTCGAGCCCGAGTCCAGGAATCGACCTCGAGGCCCCGTATCGGTCAGTCTGAGGCCTCGATTGGCTAGCTCATCGGTTTGATTATAGCTCTGTTTTAGCTCGCATTTCGTCTCTAAACTTCATAGATATAGCATCATCTGCTTAAACAACTAGCATAAAAATAGATCACGTATTTCTAGAGTCTCATCAACAAATTTAATTGTTATTACCATTTTCACGGTAAACATTTTGGCTTTTTTTTTTTTGTTTAATTTTGGTTCAAAATAAGTATCCTTTTACATAATCAAGATGGAATTAATGTTATTTTTTCTAAATTTGTCCTTGTTTACATATTTCAATGTGTTAAGGTAAAATATGCAAATTTCGATTAGTTTAGTTAATACTCCCTCCGGTCCAAAATAAGTGATTTTTTGGCCTTTTTCTTGTGGTCCAAAATAAGTGATTTTTCCAGATTTCAAGAATGAATTAATTATTTTTTTCCTACATTGTCCTTGAAGTAAATGGTGTTGGAATATGTGTTAGGAGTGTTTATGTGAGATGGTAAAGGTTAATATGGTCAATTCCATTGCTAATTAATGCTAAAAGGTGGATTTCTTAATTTGTGTGAAAACATCCAAAAAAAAAAAATCATTTATTTTGGACCGGAGGGAGTAATTAATATGCTCAGGTAATAGCGCAGAAACTTAAGTCAAACCTCCATTAATTTTTCAGAAATGAATTCATCATAGTACATTTTAGTTCATGCCTTGCCCTTTATCTTTTGTTTTCTCAAGCTCACTACAACCACCGATTACTTCTATTTTATCTTCACTTTATTCATGCTCTTTTGACAAAATACAAAAGTAATGATCTTCAGGTCCCCTCCCCCCTCTCTTGGAGGCAAATCTAATTGAAATATATCAACACAATAATCAGCAAAATTCTTACTTTTACTAATTATTTTTAGTCTTCGGTCTTTCGGAAAAAGCCTCCCTACTCCTTCAGATAGGTGTAAGGTCTGTGTACACATTATCCTCCCCAAACCCCACTTATGGCATTTTACCGGGTCGTATTGTTGTTACTAATTGTTTTTTTGTGTGTGTAAAATGATTGTTTTAACCTTCTTTCAGTTACCTGGACATGCTAAAAGTCCGTTCTAAGAGGAAAAGGGATGACTTGATGAGTCAAACTTTGCAATTATAAGATTGAGGTAATTAAGGTATCTGCTAATGAGCTACCAATTAATTCTCAAAAAAAAAATCTAACTTGAAAAGCAGAGGAACGAAAATCTTACTCTGTTCTTGGGCTAAATTTAGAAACGAAGAATAAAGGAATAGGTAATAGTTTACCTGGATGGGGGAGAGATGAGCAGCGAAGAACTGATCAGCAGTAATAAACTCATTATTAAGCTTAGGACAAACATTAGAATCAGCCAAACAAGCCCTTATCTTCCCCCAATTATCATTACTTGTAATATGATTCCTGAGCCAGGAAGAGAAACCAGCAAGCCTGTACTCACTGTAACCTCTACCGGGCACCAAATACGCGCCGTTGGGGCGCGTAACCACAAATGCAAGAACTAAGAGGACAAGGAGAAGAATGATAAGAATAGCCATACACACCAAATAGACACCTAAAAGTCCCTCTTTTTTCCAATAAGCACCGACGAAACCAGCTAAAGAAACCAACATAACGGCGAGACCCATGAAAACAACGGGCCAACGGAGCCAGTGAATGCATTCGTTGTCCGTCTTAGAAGCAAGCCACGTGCCGGCGGCGATTATAGGAATGGAACACATGAATGCCACAAAGTTCAAGAAAGCTGTAATATTGTTGCTCAGAGACATGGTTGGCGTCGAGATATTCTATTATGGTGAATTGGTTGGGGAGAGTGAAAAGTAGTGTTTCCAGTTCTTGTTTTTGTAATTCGGAGACTATTGGTTGAGTTATCTAATTAAAGAGGAAAGTGCTGGAGTAAGAAGTGTGTGACAGTTCTGGAAGGAAAACGCGGCGGAGGCCACGCGTACTTTCTATAAGTAGCACTGAACAGAGAGCGGCGAGGCACACTGATAAATTCACAAAAGTGGGAAAGTTAATTTAAGCCCCCTATAATATCATAATTACAAAAAAAGAACATATTGTGCTCTTTCTATATCAACAATTGCCATACGCAAGATTTTATACATATTTGTACGTGGTGGGCTAAAACAGCCCAATAATACTTTGAACATAATGTGATATTATCCGTTTTATATTAAGTTCACACGATCTTTCCTAAAAAGTTCTATATCAGTAAGAGATCCATACACGTTATATGTAGGCTTTAAATCTTCTCAAATACCAATGTAGATTTTGTTCGCACACCCAATAGTCTCCCCTTCGAACTAAGTTTTATGTGGCCCATTACCATGATTTACGAGTCAATTTTCGAGATTCACCGTGTGACACTCACATCGTCAGAGTATTTATGGTAACTGAAGTTCATCACAGTTCCAAAAAATGTGCTTCGAATAGCAGTGAACATCCGCACCTACCCCTTCTCGACCATCCACAAATATGCAGTATTGATTCTACCCACACCGACAGAGGAAGACTTGCCATTGCCGGCACCCAATGGGGCAGATCATCCACTAGTTGCGCACTTGCGCAAGTCACTGGCCCCGAGTGGGATCACGTATAACCAATGAATCCAAAAAGAGGATACTCCTTTGGAACTGCAAGGGTTGCAACAACCAGGAATTCTGGTGCAACTTCAAAGACATGGTGAACTGGAACAACCCACCAATCATCTGCCTCATTGAAATGCGCATGCAAAGCCATTATGAGCTCATGGAATTTATTGGTTTCACTGACTTGTTTGAAATTAGATAGATGGATACTCTGGTGGAGTTGTCCTAATGTGGAAGCATGAAAAGTTGGAGATAGATCCAGTAGTAGTTACTAACTAGGAGATCCATGCAAACATACCGGTTAGTAGAACTTCAAAATCTTGGTTGCTCTCTTTAGTTTATGCCAGCACTTTATTAGTGAACAGAAAAATTCTTTGGAATAATCTGCAAATAGTTACAAAAAACAACAACTACCCGTGACTATTATGTGGTGACTTTAATGAAGTCACAGCCGCCTCCGAAAGTTTAGAGGTAGGTCTATAAACAGTAGTAGAAGTACTGCTTTTCTAAATTGTCTGGATGCTATTGATATGATTGACTTGGGTTTTGTGGACCTACACTTCACATGGACAAATAAAAGGAAAAAAAGACAGAAGCAAATTTTGGAGCGACTTGACAAATTTCTTGGAAATTCGAACTGGGTGAAAATGTTCCCTGATGCCACTGTCACACACATGCCACGTACACATTCGGATCACTGCCCATCAATGCTAAGTCTGACAAAAAATAATCGTAAACCAACGCACGTTTTTCGCTTTGAAACAATGTGGCTTAGTCACCCACTTTTTCCAAACATAGTTAAGCAGCACTGGAATAACAATAAAAAATACCCACATGCCATTTCTTCCTTCACAAAACACGTGGAAGAATGGACATGTCCACATTTGAGAATATTTATAAAAAAAAAAAAAGAAAGAGGACACTCCATTAATGCATTCTGGGACTCCAAAACATGGACCCACAACAAAAAATTCATTTTCACCTTAATCTTGAAAATAACCTTATCCTTGAATATAACTTAATTCTCCAAAATGAAAAAGATTTTTTAAAATTAAAATCAAGAGTTCAATGGATAAACGATGAGTATGCCAATACAAATTCCTTCATATTTCCGCTATCTAGAGGAGCAGAAAAAATAGGATACTAGAGCTTAATGACATAGTTGATAATTGGACTTTTGACGCCAAAGGAATACATGATATTATTATTAAACACTTCTCAAATATCTACACAACTGAACTTGACTCATGTAGATATACAATAGCACATAACCCAAGCCTACTAAACATCCTCACAGAATAGGATAAAGAAGCACTCATTAGACCCCTTTCAGTAACAGAACAAAGCTATTAAATACTTTAAACCACTAAAGGCACCGGCTCCGGATGGTATTCACACAGTCTTCTTCCAGAAATACTGGTCGGACAAAAATTCAGCTATCACACATACATGTACTCAAGCCTTTGGTACCTTAATAATACCAGCTGAAATAAATAGGACCTACGTAATTCTTATTCCCAAGGTTAAACACCCTCAAAATATCTTTCAATATAGGCCCATAAGCCTTTGTAACACAATCAAACTGTAACAAAAATCATTGTAAACTGTATTCGCCCTTTCCTCAATAATATTATCAATCCCAATCAATGTGATTTTATTCCAGGAAAGAGACCAATTGACAATGCAATAATTGTCCAAGAAGCAATCCACTCATTCGGTAGTTGTACGGGTAGGACTGGGAAGATGATGCTAGAAATTGATCTTAAAAATGCTTTTGACCGACTTGAATGGTTATTCATCAGGAGCCCATTGCACGCATTATACTTTCCACAAGACCTAATCACGCTTATTATGAATTGCATATCTACCATTACAATTTCAATCATTGCAAATGGCACACCTACTGATTTCTTTGAACCATCAAGAGGCATCTGTTAAGAAGACCTGCTATCCCCGTATCTTTTCATCATCTGTATGCAAACCCTAATACGTTGCATTGATCATGAAGTAGATATTTTGAACTGGAAACGCATTAAAATAAGTCATATGGCCCGACCATATCCCATCTCCTTTTTGCGGACGACCTTATTCTATTCGCTGAGGTAGAGAATACTAGCGCAACTTCTATCATAAACATATTCAACTTTATTTTTCATCAAATCGGACAAAGAATAAAAAATTTCAAATCCAAAATAATTCTGTCCACTAATGTTCCAGTTACAAATCAAACATCACTGGCCAACACACTAAATATAAAGATAAAAAAATAATGTGGGAAAGTACTTGGGATTTCCGATTACCAACCTACAACAAAAAGTTCGAATTATTAATTCATACTTGACGGGATGAATACTAGACTGAAAGGATGGAAAGCAAAATTACTCACTTTATCTGGGAGATTAACTCTTATACAGTCGACTTTGTCAGCAATTCCCATCCATTCCATACAAATAAACCTTCTTCCAGCTAAGACTAGAAACAATGTTGATCGCATCCAGAGAAACTTCTTATGGAGTTCTACAATGGACCAAAGGAAAATACATCACATCAACTGGAATAAGGCAGCATCTCCTAAACAAGAGAGAGGCCTAAGGTTGTACAAAGCAACAGGAAAAAATATTGCACTCTTATCAAACCTACTATGGAGATACCTCACAAATCCTGAATCTCTATGGGCTAAAATAATTAAGGGTAAATGCATCAGTACCCAAAGAAGGAATCCTATGGTTTACGAAACAAATGACTCCTACATCCAGAAAAGCACTACCAAAACTTATTCTTTCTTCTCTAAATGCATCGCCTGAAATATTGGAAGCGGGAGCCAAATACGCATTTCGGAAGATAGATGGATTATTGGCAATCACACACTAAGGGAACTAATTGAGGGACCACTAGATAAGGAAGATATTAATAAAAAAGTTAATTGTATCATTACTAATAAAAGTTGGAACGTAGAAACCCTACCATACGACCTACCAAATACGCTTTCTGATTTCGCAACACAAACGTACATTTCGTTCTCAGAAAAATTAAATGACTCCATCTATTGGAAAGAAACGGAAGACGGGAACTTCACAACAAAAATCTACCTACAATCTCTTCATTAGGCTCACAGAGGAAACTCAATCTCATGAACCCTTTAATCACTTCTGGATATGAAAAGCACACTGCTACAACAAACTCAAAACTTTCCTATGGCTACTAATACACCAACAATACTGCAACTGTCCTAAACCAAAGGAAAATAATTGAAGGCAACTCCTGCAAACATTGTGGGTCAGAGGAAAATATATATCACATATTTTTCCACTGCCCCATGAACAGTACAATATGGGGAGAGCTAAACACTGCCACCCCATACTCAAAACCAACTAGATTGGATAAAGGATAATTGTACCTTCACTGCGAGCATCATGCTACCAAATAACTCATCAATCTTGTTGGCTATTATGACACTAATTATTCTTTGTCATATTTGGCTAAACCGTAACCATAATATTTTTTAATAATCGGTCAACACACATCGATAGCAAAAAAACAGTTATGCACGCAATGGAATACCTCTGCCTAACAAACCGTAACATTAAACATCTCATAACAACAAAAATCCCAATAAAATGGGCACCCTCACCACAAACATCTATAAACTCAATATAGATGGTGCATACCAAAAAAAACTCCAACATCGGAGGAGCAGGTGGAATCATATGAGATTCCGAAAGCAAATGGATTGATGAGTTCTCCTGCCACACAATCCCATCCAAGCAGAAACCATCGCCCTACTAAAAGGATTGGAAATTGCTTTCACAAAAAATTGAATTCCGATTATAGTGGAAACATACTGCTGGGTATTACTTAACATATTACAGACAAATCTCACAGTAAAGCTAATATTAATTTTCTCCATGATTGCAGGTTCCTGCTCGACGCACTGGGCCAGCCGGATGTTAGGCATGTCTACCGTGAAGTAGGGGTGTCAATGGATATTTGAAAATCGACTAAACCGACCGAACCGTACCGCACCAAACTCGATTTTTAGGTTTCTTTTAAAGAAATCGCAGGTTTTTATATAAATCTATAACCGTACCAATAATTAGGGTAGGTTTTTTATTTTATAAAAATAAACCGAAAAAATTCCGAACCGTACCGAATAAATTTTACATGTGAAAATATATTTATATAGTTAGTTTAAAACTAATAAAGCATTAAATTTTTCATTGGGCCATGGAATTATGAAAACTGTTACAAGCCAATAAGTAATTAAACTTAAAATACTAATTCCTAAAGCCTATTATGCTACTTATACTTAAACTAAGTTATTTCAAGTATCTTTATTAGCAAGACACAAAGTATTCTAGTGATTATGAGTAGCAAACTGCAAAGTATTGAATATGTTTCCTTTCATATAATTTAGATTTATCTTTTTGAATATTTAATATAGACTTTATTCTTGAGTCCCAACTTGGTTAATATCTTTCCACTCGTGTGATTTATATTTTCTTTGCTTTTACTTGGTTTCTTTTACGTTGCTGTCGAATTGTTGTGTATCTATACTCTAGCCATCTTTCATATTTTTAATTCACTATCCTTTAAACAGTAAAAATGTCTAGAGAGTTTTGCTAAGTCCTATAAAAGAACGTATGATATTGCATTCTATTTTTACTGGTGAATTTTAGATGACATTTAAAAAAATACCGAAAATTAACCGAACCGTACCGATACCGAAGTGAAACTGACATGATTGGGACGGTTTCAAAAAGTCTAATTTTGGTTATACATAATAGAATAACCGAAAAATTGGTATGGTACAAATTTTATAAAATAACCGGCCGAACCGAACCATTGACACCCCTACTGTGAAGGAAACCAAGTAGCGCACACACTAGCACAGTTTGAGAGCAACTGTAACTCACATACTAAAGCTGAGTGTGACGAACACTTTTGGAGTGAACCGCCTTTATTTTTATTTTTTTACTTTCCGCAAAGACTTACTAGGACTGTTTCGTTAAGATCAGACCGAGACTGTAATAACTCTCTTTAATTTACTGCATAATAATAAATTCATCGCCTTCTAGCAAAAAAAAATGTCAGCCTATTAGATAACACCACTTCTAATTCTCAAAATTTCAAGTTATCGGCCGTTTAATTTAAACCTCCCTGTCATATATTTTGCTAAATTAATTTTCAACTCTTTTAATAACATACTATCTGATGCACAAATCAAACTATTATCTTAAATTCCGTAATATAAGACACAATCAAGTAAAGCACGCGGAGTTAAATACGTAGCCAATGAAGAATATTAGTATCATTTAATCGATCATATTGTAAATTTTAATTCTTTCTGTGAGTACAAGTCAGATGAGGATTGTGACACCATGCCTAATGCCTAATGTGTTTTCACTTCCCTTCTTTTAAGGTTTTATGTTCGGTTTGAAGTCATCATCTACTCTTCAAAGTTTCCGAGAAATAATTTCATTTTACATTTCTATTCAAATTACTTTACTTCTATATTTGGTGATGAGAGTTTAGGAGTTTGTTGAGAAGCATGGGACGTGGTTGTTGTACTTGACCTGATCTGAAAGGGACTCTATAAATGATGTATTGTAACTGAGTTATGTTATGAATATTTAAAGCCTCATTTGTTTGGGTATGTCTGAATCTTAATCATTCACATCTCAGACATTTTTTAAGTGTGTTTGTTTTTAAAGTTTGAATCTTGATTATTCAAATCTTAATCGTTAAGTGTATTTATTTTTTCTACTTCACAACCACTTAATGGGTTTGAAGAAGTCTGTATCATTAAGATCTATGACAGAGACTTAATTTCATTATGATGTTATCATCCATATTCATTATTAACTGCCGCCACCGTCTACCATTATCAACTACCACCATGTCACCCACAACCACCACCATACTCAACCATCACCATCACCATTCTCAATCATAGTCGCCATCATTGTCGACCACCACCACCCACCATCCCCATCACTCCCACCACCACCATTCTCAACGACAACCAACACTCATCCACCTCAACTACCACAACTAACCACCCCATCACTATCAACAACCATAGCTGGCATTGCCCAACATTATAAACAAGCACCACCCACCACCATCTTCCTCAATCATAACTACCACCACTACCACCCGCCATTATTAACTATCACCACCCACCACCACTATCCTCAATCATAATAGCTACCACTACCAATCACCACTAGCTACTACCCTAAACTACCACAATCAACCAAATCCACCACCAACCACCGCTTTTAGTCGGCATTCACAAGCACTACCGTTAACCATCACCACTAGCAACTATCATATTTAAAAAAGCTATATATTTTGTGATGGAATATTAGATTAATTAGTATTTTATTCGAATTTTATATTTATTATTTTTCAAATAAAAGTAAATTTTATACATTTAGATGTTAAAAATCAAATAGTCTTAATCATTTAGTATTCAGATCTTAATATACATCTTAATATTCAGATGTGTATTCAGATTCAGATGTCTTAATTTTAATTCACATCTTGATATTCAGACGGGTATTCAGATTCAGACGTCTTAATTTTAGAAAAATAAGGCCTAAGTTAAAATCACGTCAAATCAAATATAAATTTTTGAACGAAAGGAATCGCAGCAATGAAATAAAATGTAAAAATTAACTGGCAAAAGTTATAGCGTGGTAGGACTTTATCGGAGACACCAAAGGGTGTCTGCTTCTAATATTGTTAACCCCAAATATGGACGGCAGATAGATGAAGGAGTATAGTATATAATTTTTGCCAATAAATAATATTTTATTGTTGCAAACATTGAAATTCAGTACTGCAAATAATGATTTGATAACTCCTATTATTATTTGCAACATCAAACCATTATTTACAAATGCTAAATTTTAATATTTGAAGTATCGGTGAAATATATCTTATTATTTGCAGATACAGAATTTCAGTAGTTGAAATATATACTAGCAAAATATTAAAAATATATAAGGAATATTTCAAGTGTGAAATATATATCACGTTTAAACATTTTAATATTTTATTATGGTTTCAACAAATCTCCATTTAATAGTTTGAATGGAAAAGGTCCAAAAATATCCCTAAACTATGATATGTAGCTCATTTTTGTCCTCAATTAGTAAACTGGACCAAAAATATCCTCCCCGTTAGCACAATGGGCCACTAATGTCCTTCAACCTAACAGCCCTCCACACAAGCCATTTTAAATCCTACATGGCATCCACTTAGCTGTGACATGGCAGCCACATAAGCGGGCCTTCTAAACCCACTCCGAAACCCATTTCCAAACAAAGATCTGGCTGTAACCCCACATCCAAACCCCATTCCATAACAAAAACCCAATTTCTTCCTAGACCCAATTTCTCTTCAAAATTTGTGCTCCAATTCCCTTCATGACAATGAAGTCCTTCCTTTTGTTGCACTATATTATTCCTGATTTCCACTTATGTGAACATTAATGTAGCGGTCGATCCGTGTCCATCTATTAATTTTGCACATGAAGAATTTTTCTTGGTTATACAATTGTACACTCATCTGAGCAGAATTTTGGCTTCTGCACACGTACACACAACATAAAAATGCTCTCTTTTTTATGTGTCTCATGCTACAACCCTCCTCTTCGAGCTGCCAATATAACTTAACCAAAAAATTATGAATCTTATGACATCACATTAAGAGAATACAGAAGTACGCGTGAATCAATTTCAGTCTTCTATATTTTCAATTGTACATTTTCCAACTAGCTTTAATATATGGATGACTTACTCATTCACTGTAACTAAGTATTGCTGCTGAAGTTGGAGCAGAAATTTTGAAGGGAAATTGGGTCTAGGAAGAAATTGGGTTTGGATGTGGGGTTACAGTCAGATCTTTGATTGGAAATGGGTTTCGGAGCGGGTTTAGAAGGTTGCCCGCTTATGTGGCTGCCATGTCACAGCTACGTGGATACCACGTAAGATTTAAAATGGCTTGTGTGGAGGGTTGTTAGGTCGAAGGACATTAGTGGTCCATTATGCAAACGGAGAGTATAGAGGACAAAAATGAGCTATATACCATAATTTAAGGATATTTTTGGAGCTTTTCCTAGTTTGAATTGAATGAGTAGAATCAAGTTATAAATGATATGAGTAATTTTTTTTTTTTTGAAGGGGATATGAGTACTTATAAAGTTTGAATTCTGATCAAATTACAAAAAGAGCCCCTTTTTTGCCAGAAATCTCTGTATGTGCGCTCCCTCCGACTGTTTTTTCAGCAAATGGAATGTTGGGTACCATTGTTTCAGATATTCTTGAACTCCCCTTGTCCTGAAACTGAAGCATCTCTATGGTTACAACAGGCTTTCAACCAATCTGGCCCTACCACCATTTCTACAACCTCATTCCTTTCACTGCTCACAAAACCTACCGATATCACCATCACCGGTTCCTCTTCCCCATCTCTCACAAAACGGTAATTTTTTACTTGATTTTACCTTTGGAGGTTAAAATTGAAGTTTACTTGTTTACCAGTTTAACTTAATGTGAATTGAACAAAGATAAATTGGTGTTTGTCTTGGCAGGGTTATGTGGATACAGACTCTACCAAATGCAGTTCAAGCTCGCATTTTGTCATTTCTTCTTTATGATAGCCGGAGATTTTGTGAAAGTGACTTGCGTCAGCTTGCGGAAACTATGTTGAAGGAGGGCGAGGAGTTTGATTTTTGGGTAAAGCGGGCTGCACATCAGCTGCTCGACGTAGTGTCTAGGTCAAACCATGAATGGTTAACTAGCTTGAACTTGGATTCTGAAGAAGAACTAGTGGATGATGAATTTTGTTCATTACCCAATTGGCTTAAGGATGCTGCCAATGACAGTGATTTGATGCTTCCGTGGCTGCCTATATCACAGAAACAATTCAACTTGGCAATGCAGTTTAGTAGTTGTGGAGAAAATGATGATCCTTTGAGTGAATTCGAAGAGGGTAAACGAGAAATGATGGATGACGTAATGGAGGAGATTGATGAAGTAATTGAGGGAAGTAGATGACTACTTGAACCCTCAAGTTGAAGAAATGGCTGGGCGCTTGAAAGACCGGTTGTTTTCTCTTCAGTCTACAGCTAAAGCTGTGGAATTGGCAGGGGAAATTCGGCAGCTTTGTAAAGGAGGGGGGAAGTCTTTGGCTGTTTTGAGCATAATTGAACCTTGGAGAGCTGATGATGAGACAGCTGCAGTTTTAATGTCCAATCTTCTAGGCGGGAATGTAGATGAACTTGGTTGGCCCAGCCACGTTCTTTGCGCCGTCATTCTTCCCAAGTTGTTGCTTTTGAAAGAACCAGCTTCTCGTGCGTTACTAACAGCAGCAATAGAGTACTCTAAAGTTCATCAGAGAGCTGCAGAGTATGCGTTGCTACTGCCGCTGATTCTTCGAATGGAAGGCATAAATAACCCTATGTGTGATGTAATAACAAGGATAGTTAAAGAATCTTTGCACCCAGGCCATATTTCTGCCTTCTGCCAGAAACTTCTCTGCGATGGGGACAATCTGAAGAAATTCATCTCCCTTCCCTGTCATCAATGCTTAATTGGAAGTAAATTGGTATGGACTGAGTCATTATTTAATTTGATGCAAAATATCCTAAATCATAACATTCATTTGACTCAAGACTCAGTTGATAGACTTGTTCAGCATGCTTGGGAATCTGCTGAGAGGTTTTCAAAGTCTTTGAAATTTGGAAACTTTTTACTATGTTTTGTCACCAAATGTGCTCCTTTGTTGAAGTCTCAAAAATCTTTACTCATAGAAGCTACTCAGCGTACTAATACTCTGGTGACAAAATCTGTGTTGTCAAAATTGTCTAGTTTGTAAGTGGCCCTATACCCTGTTAAACAAACAGCTATGTAAATACATTATTGCTCTTTAACTTGGACCATTTTTTGGACTTAGTTTCTTAAAGAAGCTACTATAAAAGTTTTACAACAGGTTTGATAGGAATTAACCTGGTTGTTTATACAGATGGTATTTCTTAATAGTTTTTACTGAATCAGATTGCTGTTTTTTCCAGTTGTAGTTATAATGATATTAATACCTTATGTCATGCACTACAAGAGAAATGTTCTTCCTTGTCTTGGGTCTGTGTGGGTTGATAAAACTAAGGATGGATGTTTAACAATTAGGTGGACAAACATAACTTTTGGACGGAGGAAATGTGAAAGAGAGTCTTATAAACTCTCTCTCTCTCTCTCTCTCTCTCTCTCTCTCTCTCTCTCTCCCACTCCCCCCTTTCTTTAATTTCTCCCTTTTCTGATTTTGCAAAACCTAGGGTTCTAGTTTAAGTTGGTCATTTCTCATACTTGTTTTCTGAACCTAGGGTTCTTGATTTAGCTCTTATTATTACATGTTAGGAGTCTATTTGCAACGTTCTTGTACTCTTCTTATGTTGTATTATAATGATGCCTTTATTTCTCTTCGCAACGCTAGTCTTGAAATTTCTTGGGCAACCAGAAGATGTAGCTGAGCTATCTGGAGTTGTTATTTTGGCCTTTATTCAATTTCATGGGCAATTGTTGAAGTTGTAGTTTTGGCCTCACATTAAATATTCAATCTCCACTTTTTCTTTGCATTTAAATTTCCACTAAAGAGGTTTTTAAAGAGCCAATTAAAGAATAATGTGATAGCATGGGCAAATTTTGTGGCATTCATTTTTCATGTGTTGATAAGTTGGTTGATTGTGTACAAGTTTCATTTGGGTATTATTGGGACAACACTTACCTTGAATTTCTCTTGGTGGTTGGTTATGTTGATGTTGTTATGTTTGGAATTAGAATATTACATTGAAATGAATGGTTAAAAAGGATTATGTAACAATTTCCTCATCATTCGTACGTTATCTATTTAAGCATGATTGAAACGCTCATAGTTATAAAGTTTTNTAGTACGGTACGGAAGTAGTGAAGAGAGTCTATAACTCTCTCTCTCTCTCTCTCTCTCTCTCTCTCTCTCTCTCTCTCCCAATTCCAATTTTGTGTTCCAATTTTGTGTACTTCAGATTTACACTAAACATAAATAAATTAAAATATTTCGAGTTGACAAAGGTTCTTCAGGAGGAATTTGTCTGTGAGTTTGCATATGGTGCTGTATCTCTTGCTAGATGATAAGATCAAGAGAATTTAGCATTATACAGATTATTCTTCGTTAAAAGATTGTTATGCTCACAGCGATAGGTAGCAGGTAATCATCAATCAACCACTACCAAGAAATGCTCTCTGGAGTTAGTTTTCTTTTACTGATACAACCAAAATAAATCAACTTATTTTTGCTCTTCTGCAAGTGTCATTGGTCTATGAATAACAACCTTTCAAAGCAATTCTAACTTTGACCTTAAAACTTTTAATGAGATGTTACATGATAAAGGAAGCTTATATACATTAGCTTCTCTTGAAATATAACCAGAAAGAAGGCTCAAACAGAAAAAAAGAAAAAAGAAAAAAAAAGAGGGCACTCAAATGATAAGTAACATAAACTTGAACGAGTATTGTTCTTTTTCAATGTGAAGACTTCAGTGCCCGTTCGCCAATGTTTTTGCGGACTCAAATCTGGGGCCTTTTTCCGCAAACTTGGTTTTGGAATAAAGATTTAGATAATCTTGAAAACGGAGATGACAGGGATACAAGAGCTTTGGTGCTGGAGAAATGATGGCCTCACCAGCAGGGTTGTAAAAGGTGGCAATGGAAAGTCTGTTTCCATTCTTTTCAGCCATCACTCGGTGTTGAATGCTCTTGTACATCCCATTGCTTAAAATTTCGATTTGATCACCAGTGTTTACAAAAATTCTGTTGTTCTTGGAAGGTGGAATTTTCACCCAATGTCCGTCTTTAAAGAATTCCAGACCAGGAACTTGTTCGTCTTGGAGTAAGAGAATGATACCACCAGCATCTGTGTGCTCACGCAATCCCCTGACTAATTCAGGGCGCGGACATTGAGGATATATTGCCACTTTTGTTCCAACAGAAGGACCCTTGCTTCCTGAAAATGCTTCCTTAATGTAACTCTTCTCTAGGCCAAGGTTCTCACACATTAGTTCTGAAAGATTTTCAGCAAGATTAATCAGCTGATCAATGTATCCATCTATTGCGTTGCTGCACATAAACATGTATCCCACATAGTTCAGATGTGGCATTCAATAATGTTAAGAAAAGACTTGTTTCGCAGATAGATTGTCAGTGACATATTTTAAGTGCATGACATATATAAGCTGTATGTGTGTGTGCGCATTCTAGTATAATTGTTGAACTGTTGAAACTTTATGCTCTGGTGTTCTTGACTTACCAAAGATCCTTTGAGAGACCTTCAGTCCCATAGATGTTAGAACTTGGACGATGCCAAAGAAAGAACGTGCTTTCCCAGTCTGTTTTGCTGAGTTTTTCTTTCTTCTCTAAGCTCATAGGTAGCTCTGATTCATAGAACCGTTTCTTCATATTGGCTTCATAGTGCTGAATCACGAGCTGCTTCACATTGTCCATCAGGTTAGTGTCAATTCCATGGTTCTCTATCTGCATAAATTGAACATTTCTGTTAGTATCAATATCTTAAAAGTGCTACTACAGAAAAGCAGAAATACAACATTCATTACCATAAAGAAGCCCCATTTCTCACAAGCATGATGGAGAAGTGCCATGGTTGCACTTCTCTCCTCACCGTCAAGCTTACTGAAGTCGATCACCGGAATCTCCATCTTCTTGTTCTAAGTATGAAGGTAAGAAGGTACTTGGCGACTATATATAGCCATAGGAGTAAAATAATTTTTACCGGGTGGGGTTGGTTAAAAAAAGCAGTTAGATTTGAATAACAGGTAGTTGTAGTTGTAACCTAATTACCTCATCCGAAGGAGAAATTATTGGGTACACTGGGATGAGCAAGGAATAGTAATGAGTCCAAATTCACTTCATACCAAAACCATGTGATTATACTGTTATTTTATGTTTTGACAATCTACAGCCGATTTGTGTCTTACAAATAAAGCTTTATTTACTTGAGTTTCTATGTAAAAATATTTCCTGATAGGATGCTTCCATGCCACTAAATTCCTTTCATGTGAACTTCTCTTTTTCTTCTCTGTATTCTACTGGTCAACTAGGACTTGTTTATATTGTTTTAGTAATGTTGGAAACTTTACGTACGGTAGTTGGTATTTCCTCAAATTGCAATTCGTTGGTTTGAAGAAACCAGGGGCTGTGAGTGATGGAGATCAATTGCCTTGGCCTAGATTCCAGTGGGCGGTTTTGGTTTTGATATTAGATAGGAGTATGACTTTCAAACTAGCTAGCTGTCTTGATCATTTCCTTTTAGAACAGTTTGCTGATCCAAAATCCCAACTGTATCTTTCTTTGTTAGTGTTTGTGATTTCTAGAGTTTACCAGTTGAGTTTGTCATTGCTTAGTTGTAGTCTCTTGAAGGACTTTCCCTGCGTCGTCTGTTCATAATTCATTCAAAATAGGAACCTGGTTTTGTTTAAACTTGGCCTTGTCGTCTATGACTAATATTTCACTCCCAAATCCAATTAGGATCCAATCAAAGTGACAAATACAGAATATACTCATCTAGGGACTGTTCTGATTAGATTATGAATCTTTTTTATCCGAACTGACCACTTTTTCCTCAACGAACAACGATTACAAAATTTAACACCAGGATTTGAGTGTGCATGGCTCGTTAGTTCAAGTACAATTGATATAATTTCTTACTTGGCGACTATATTGTCGATATATTGTAATCTTTACGGCCTCATGGTTTTGTCCTCAGGTTTTAACTCAAAAGGTGTCTCAACAGTTGAATGAATTTCTGATCTCATTGTTTAGTGTTTTACGGACATGAATATAATTTTGGGTTGTTTGTGAAGTTTTGTGAGTGATATGAGTGAAAAGTTTGAAAAATAGCTTTTTGGAGTTTTCCAAATTTTCGAAAAAATCCATAATGCATCTTCAAATAAAAATTAAATTTTTTATGACCTAACGCTAATTTCGAAAAAAATGAAAAATTTCTTATGTCCAAATGAGCTCTTACAATGCACAAGTCGCAAAGAGGTGCACTTTCCTGAGTTTCGCAAATTACAAATCTTCCGGTGAAGCTAAGTATATGCTTTCTATTTCGTTCAATTCAAACTGCACTTTTTACATGACAAGCTAAGTTATTAGGCTACTAATACGGAAGTTGGAGTATTATAATGTACTCTGTTTCGTGGATGTGTCGGAGGTAAGGGAAAAACTCGCTCGGAGCGTTTAAATCAAATATACCGACATACTATGGTTAAGCGATTTAATGCAATGAGAATATATATTAATTAATCATGATTAAGTGTTAAAAGTATATGTAAAAACATATCACACGTCTATTGGTTTGGGATAAACACCACGGGCTGGGTTTATACCAAACCAATGAATGCATGACATGTGTTTCACATAAACTTTTCTCCGTCAATTACAGTTAATTAATATATATTCTCATTTCAGTAAGTTACTGTTTACCCGTAAAATGGTACAATTGAATTTATATGTTGTAAAACCTAGAAACACGTTGGAATGACACATTGAAAAACCAATCCTTATTGATATTCATTAACATGGTACGACATATATTTTTATAGTATAAACCAACAAGAAGTCAAGATAAGTGCAAATTCTATATGATAAACATAAGAGAGATCCGATAGAGTTTTAGTTAGACAAGGCTTGTCATTTAAACTCCGCAAGGATAGACACGGTCCAATACCTCCCTTGAAAACGGAAGGTGAATCTTTCACCTTGAGTTTGTCTTGTAAAAACTGAAACCTTGCCGAGGAGAGTGGCTTGGTTAGGATGTCAGCCAATTGATATTTGGATGAGAGAAACTGAATAGTGAGGTCTCGCTAGCTACCTTGTCTCTCAC